GTGCTACCTCTGAAAACAATATAAAAAATTCTAATCGTCTTTACGTTGTTTGTCGTATCGTGTCAATGCTTATTTCAACCTACGGTGTTTACCTCTTGTTGTTTTCTAATGTTTTGTATTACCATTGTGTATAGGGAATCAAAGAAGGACGGTATGGTGCAGGTCGCATTGTATTTGCAGTCATTCTTGTTGTAGTTGTTTTTGCTGTCATCGTGACAAGTATTATGATTGTGGATAGCAGTTATGAACGTTATCTTCTTTCTATTTCATGTTTGCAGCAATCAGTGACTTCAAATGCTCTCTGCAGTTTCAACACCGAAACGAGTGAAAGAGACACATCTGGAGGTCCGTACTTGCTGTTTTTTTTTACCATTTCTGTAATCTGCATTATGTTGTTTCCTTTTGTGTACACTTTATACAGGTAAGTAATGCACAGGGGATAAGAGGTGGTAGCCGAGTTGAAAATTCAATATATGACATTGTGGTGGGTCATTTCGGGCCCCCAACAATAAAATCTGGTCACTGAGAGTTGCTATTCCTTTTGTTTATTGTTTCTTGATATGTTTTTGCTGCATGCTGGGTGGGCAATCGTATTTTCCATTAACTTGTTTGTTTTTGCTGCATGCTGGGTGGGCAATCTTATAGCACTAAATTGTTGAGTTTCAGGTTCGAATGGTTACTAGTGACAACCTCCAACCTGCCAAAGCTATTGCGCTGGAGTGAAGAATATTAACCTATGGTACATAAGCCACTGAACCTATTGTTATTGAAGGAATAACTTTTCGTTCATTGTCGGATTCTGAAAGTGAAAAGATATCTGGCTGGCAAGATATCGGCTAAGAACTCACTTTCATAGTGGTGAAGGTGATGGTCGCAGCAAAGGTATCTTCAGTGCTTGGGATTAAAACAGAATCATGTTAAATCTGAGAATAATAACAAAAAAAATTGCAATTTGTCTTTAGCTTGTTTGTCAGTGCTTATATAAACCGACGGTGTGTGGTGTTTTATAATATTTTGTGTCATAGAGATTGAAAGAAGGAATGGGATGATGGAGGCAGCATATATTTTGCAGTTATTCTTTTTGTTATCGAGACAAGTATTATGATTGTGTAGCAGTTATGAACACTATCTTCTTTCTATTTCACGTTTGCAGCAGTAAGTGATTAGAAATAGTCTGCAATTTCAAAACTTGAACGAGGAAGGGAGAGACATACATCTGGAGGTTCGTACTCTCCATTTTTTACCATTCCTGTTATATGCATTATGTTAATTCCTTTTGTTTACACTTTATAGAGGAGAGTAATGCACAGGGGATAAGAGGTGGTTGACGAATTGAAATTTCAATATATGAAATTGTGGTGGGTGATGTCTTTCTCCCTACATTGGTAATCAGGTTAGTGATAGATGCTACTACTTTTGCTATTTTTTCTTGGTGTGTCATAGTTTATCTGCAACATATATACATTTTGCTGTTTGAAAAATATTGTGTAGATTCCAACGGATTAATTATTATATCAGGCCACTCGCTTGCTCTCGATGATTCTATGAAAAATGTATGTCTGTGTTGCCAATGATAGTGAAGTCGGTGATCTTCTTTTAAACTGAGTCGTGATAATCTGTGTCGGTATAAAGGTGAAACAGCTAACAAATACTTCATTTCTGTAGGCTGTTTTATATAGATAGTAGTAAAGATTACATTATTTCGAAGAATGTTTCATGGCCGGCTTTCCTTTTATGATGTCGTGAAGTTACAGTGTTGAATCTAAAGTCCGTAAAAACTCGGAGAATTATCCAATTTCAGCTCACTGTTAATGTTGTTGTTCTCATCATTAACATTGTAGCGGTAGTTTCAAGTAGTGATGTCCCACTCAAAGCTGTGCAGGTTCAGATCCTTGTCGTGTACAGATTTTTCTACTTTCTTATGTGCAGGTTCAGATCCTTGTCGTCTGGTTGCTTATGCGTGATTGTTTTTGGTTTGCATTTCTATTAGGTTCGAGTATTGTCAAATTTTCCAAAGACAAACGTAGAGAAAGGTATCCATGGTGATGAGGATGACATTGTAAATCGTAAGAATACCTATCCTCATAAGAAAGGGAAAGATTTTCTGGTATAGGAAGTTCTTGCTAATTTTGGTGGCCTTTTGAGTTGCGTTTTTCTTGCTATGTTTCTAACTAAACAATCGAGTTCTCATTTAAAGTGACAGAGTGTTCCGTAGGACGCTTTCCAAGATCTCACTTTGATAATTGTGATGGTCGCAGCAGTAGCTTTTTTAGTGCTCAGGATTAAAACAGAGCTGTGCTACCTCCGAAAACAATATAAAAAATTCTAATCGTCTTTACGTTGTTTGTCGTATCGTGTCAATGCTTATTTCAACCTACACCGTTTACCTCTTGCTGTTTTCTAATGTTTTGTATTACCATTGTGTATAGGGAATCAAAGAAGGACGGTATGGTGCAGGTCGCATTGTATTTGCATTTGCAGTCATTCTTGTTGTAGTTGTTTTTGTTGTCGTCGTGACAAGTATTATGATTGTGGATAGCGGTTATGAACATTATTGTTGACAGACTTAGTTCAAATGGTTCAAGACTTATGCAGAAGAAAAAGAAGTTCGTGTGTGTTTTATAAGTTTCAGAAAGTTGGATAAGATTATGATGCAGTTATTGTATTTCAGTTTATGTCAGTTACTAAAAGAAGTTTGTATTGAAGTCTGTATTATATACGTTATGTTTGTATGTAAAAAAAGTTAAGGATTTGATTATGATTAATCTCTCCTGAATTCTCATTCCAAAATTGAAAACACAAATTCTGGAAACAAAGATTTTAAATCAGAAAGCTTCAGTGGTATCAGAGCCAGGAGATTGTTGCGGACCTGTGAAGAATCATGGAGCAAGGAGACACGTCTGTATCTTCAAATCAGACAAATTCTCCACCAGTTTTCGGTGGCGATGGCTATCAGATATAGGCTGTGAGGATGCAGGCTTACATGGAAGGAGCAGATCTGTGGGAAGTGGCTATGGAAGAAGGCGAAATTCCTCCTTTACCACAGAATCCTACGGTGGCTCAAATGCGGAATCACAGAGAGAAGGTTATCAAGAAAGCCAAAGCCAAATCCTGCATATTTTCTGCTGTAACACCTAATGTTCTCATTAAAATCATGAAGTTGGGATCAGCAAAATTAATGTGGGATTTTCTGAAAACTGAGTATGAAGGGGATGAGAAGGTGAACAGCATGAAAGTGCTGAATCTACTGAGAGATTTTGAAAGACAACAAATGAAGGAGGATGAAACGATCACGGATTATGCTGAACGTCTTGTAAGTATCATCAACAATGTGCGAATCCTTGGCACAGATGTTGATGATGCCAAGATAACACAGAAAATCCTTGTATTTGTTCCTGAAAGATTCGAGGCAACTATTGCCACGTTGGAGAACACAAAGAAACTCTCGGACATGAAGCTTCCAGAGATAATAAGTGCTCTTCAAGCACAGGAACAGAGGAGAAAAATGAGGACTGGGGGATCCACAGAAGGTGCAATGCAAGCAAAGTTCAAAGGTAAGGACTCAGAGAAGAAGAAGCAAAAGAAGAAGAAGAAGCAGCAGAATGACGATGTTCCGAAGCAGGGTGAATCAAGTCAGTCTGCAAATGCTAATTACAACTTCTTCACTGATTCGTGCAAGCATTGCAACAAGAAAGGGCATCCCCATTGGCGCTGTTGGAAGAATCCAAATGTCAAATGCAGGGCTTGTGGTAAACTCGGGCATATTGAGAGATTTTGCAGAAGTCAAACTCAGCAAAATCAAGAAGCAAAGGCTGCAGATTCAGGTGACACCGATAATATGTTTGTTGCCTCGTGTTTTACCTCTAACGCTGTTAAGGAAGGCTGGCTTGTGGATAGTGGGTGTACAAACCACATGACAGGGGATCGAAGTTTGTTTCAGCATTTGGATACTTCTTTCAGTTCGAAGGCGGAAGATGGAAATGGCGAGTATATTAAGGCAGAAGGTAAAGGAGATGTTTTGATAAAAACTACAGCAGGTACTAAGATTCTGTCTGAAGTTTTGTATGTACCACTTATTGATCAAAATCTGTTGAGGTGGCACAATTGATCACTAAAGGGTACAGAGTTTTATTCGAAAAGGCAGAATGTATCATTGGAAATGATACAAATCAGAATCTGTTCAGAATAAAGATGAAGGATAAGAGCTTCTCATTCAAACCTGATGATGAAGGCTGCAAAGCTTTATCATCTCAAATGTCAGAAGAGGAAATCTAGCATAAAAGGTTGGGACACTTTCATAGCAAAGGTATCTCACACATGATCAGGTATAATATGATTTTTGGATTACTAGAGAAGCAGATCGAAATTACAGATTGCAGAGTTTGTCCATTGGGCAAACACAGCAGGTTACCTTTTGGCTCCTCTACTTGGAGAGCAAATGAAAAACTCCAGCTTATACACACTAATGTGTGTGGTCCCATGCCGGTGGAATCACTCACTGGAAGCAAGTACTTTATAACGTTTATTGACGATTATTCCCGTATGTGCTGGATATTTTTCATGAAACAGAAATCCGAAGTTGAAGGAATTTTTCAGAAGTTTAAAAGCGAAGTCGAAAATGAGAGTGGAACAAGCATCAAGGTGTTAAGGTCAGATAATGGGACTGAATACACCTCAAGCAAGTTCAGAAACATATGTGAAAGTGCTGGAATCAAGCATCAGTTTTCTGTTCCATATGCTCCTCAACAGAATGGTGTAAGTGAACGCAAGAACAGAACAATTGTCGAAATGGGAAGATGTCTTCTGTTTGAGAAAGATTTGCCGAAGAAATTCTGGGCTGAAGCGTCGAACACTGCGGTATTCATTCTCAACAGAGTGACAACAAGAGCTTTATACAAACAAACTCCATTTGAAGTTTGGTATGGCAGAAAACCAACCTGTGCCAATTTCAAGGTGTTTGGTTGTGTTTGTTTCTCTTACATACCAGATGTCAAGAGAGACAAATTGGATGAAAAGTCTGAAATGGGTATATTTGTTGGGTACAGCCTTATTTCGAAAGCTTACAGAATCTACTTACCAAACTCAAATCGAGTTATAGTAAGTAGAGATGTAAAGTTTCTCGAAAATAAGAAGTGGGATTGGTCAGATGCTGAGGAAACTACACGTGAAGAAGGCAGTACAGAAGTCAATCCACAGGAGGAGATCGAGGTTCAAGAATTTGTGTATGAACCTGATGACATACCAGTTCGTGGAACAAGATCTTTGGAAGAAATATATGAGAGATGCAACACTGCTCTGCTGGAACCTGCAGGGTATGAAGAAGCAAAACAAGACCAGAAATGGAGATTGGCAATGCAGGAAGAGATTAACATGATAACCAAGAATGAGACTTGGTTATTAGTTGACAGACCTGTAAACAAAAAGGTGATAGGTGTGAAATGGGTATATAGAACGAAGCTGAATTCAGATGGAACCATTAACAAGCACAAGGCCAAACTTGTGGTGAAAGGGTACTCACAAGTTTGGGGAATTGATTATTCAGAAACATTTGCACCAGTGGCGAGATTGGATACTGTCAGATTGTTGCTGGCCATTTCTGCTCAAAAGGGTTGGAGAGTGATGCATATGGATGTTAAATCAGCATTTCTAAATGGAGAATTGAAGGAAGAGACATACGTTGATCAACCTGAAGATTTCATCATTGAAGGAGCTGAGGATAAAGTCTATCTGCTGAAGAAGGCGCTTTATGGCCTGAAACAGGCTCCAAGAACCTGGTATGAGAAGATCGATCAATGTCTCAGGAACTTGGGCTTTGGCAGAAGTTTGAGTGAACACACTCTGTATATCAAGTGTGGAAGAAAAGCAGTGGTCATTGTATCCATATATGTGGATGATATACTTGTAACAGGAGGAGATGAAGAAGAGATCGGAAAAGTGCAGAATTTGCTGGGCAGAGAGTTTGAGATGACAAATCTCGGACTCATGTCGCAGTTCCTGGGTTTCGAAGTTAGACAAACCCAGGAGAGGATCTTCATAAGCCAAAAGAAGTACCTCGACAAGATTCTTCAGAGGTTTAATTTGGATGATTGCAAAAGTTCAAAAACACCTCTGGAGCAAAAGATGAAGTTTCAGAAGTTCGAAGGTGAAGAATCTGCTGATGAAGGAAATTACAGAAGTTTGATTGGGTGTTTGATGTATTTGACAGCAACACGACCAGATATCTTGTTTGCAGTCAATACATTGGCAAGGTACTTGAATTGTGCTAAGAAGACTCATATGATCGCAGCGAAAAGGGTTCTAAGGTATCTGAAGGGAACACAGTCATTTGGAATCGAGTTCTGTAAATCTCAGAACTTCGGTTTGATTGGATATGTTGACAGCGACTGGGGTGGCTCTCCAGACGACATGAAGAGTACCTCAGGTTACTGTTTTTCCTTCGGATCAGGCTGTTTCTGTTGGAGCTCGAAGAAACAGAGCATTGTTGCTCAATCAACTGCAGAAGCAGAGTTTGTGGCGGCAACAGAAGCAACGAACCAAGCCATTTGGCTCAGGAAATTGCTGAAAGATTTGAAGATGGAATGCAGTAGTCCAACCAAGATTATGATTGATAATCAGGCTGCTATAGCGATTTCTCAGAATCCTGTCTTTCATGGAAAGACAAAACATTTTAAGATCAAGTATTATTTTCTCCGAGAAGCACAGCAAGAGGATGAAGTATTGTTGGTTTACTGTAGGACTGAAGATCAGAAAGCCGACATGTTTACAAAGGCGTTCCATCCAAATCGATTTGAGAAGTTAAGGGATATGCTGGAAATTTGCAACAAGTCTCAAACCAAGGAGGAGTGTTGACAGACGTAGCTCAAATGGTTCAAGACTTATGCAGAAGAAAAAGAAGTTCGTGTGTGTTTTATAAGTTTCAGAAAGTTGGATAAGATTATGATGCAGTTATTGTATTTCAGTTTATGTCAGTTACTAAAAAAAGTTTTTATTGAAGTCTGTATTTTATACGTTATGTATGTAAGTAAAAAGGTCAAGGATTTGATTATGATCAATCTCTCCTGAATTCTCATTCCAAAATTGAAAACACAAATTCTGGAAACAAAGATTTTAAATCAGAAAGCTTCACTAATGTAATTTTAGGGTTTTCCCCCCAACATATACATTGCCTATCTTACCCCTGTATCATACTAAGTCTATATTTAATTACCATGTCTATCAATACTCCCTCCTCGAGTTTCACCTTGTCCTCAAGGTGAAAGTTGGGAAATTGTGCCTCGATCGTCTCCACTAGCTCCCAAGTGACGTGAAACAGTGGCAAATTCTTTCATCAGTTTAGTACCTCTTGTCCCGAGTAAATGCCAAGGCATGGGTTGCATCCCCTTTCTGTTAACATATATAGACTTTGCTGTATAGAAAATCTTGTGTAGGTTCCAGCGGATGGGGTATTAATATCTGGCCACTCGCTTGCCCTTGATGGGTCTAGCATGACTGGGGAGATCAAAAGCTTGCATTTGTTGCCAATGATAGTGAAGTTGGTGTTCATCTCATAATCTGCATTGTGGTATGATGATTAACTTCTGTTTTCTTGATAGGTTCAAAAAGATGCTAGTAAGGACCCATTCTTAATGTCTTGTTGTAAAGTTGCAGATGACAAAGGTAATGCTTGGTAGGCTTCGTGTTTTTCTGTCTTTCCTCCTCGTTATTGTCCTCTGAATTATTTGGTTTGCTTGCATGAACAAAATGGTTGATTATGTAAAACAGATGAAAAAAAACGATTACTAAGTTGAATGAGATGTGAAGTATTTACTAAAGCTGTAAATTGTATTAATATGGTTACCATTGTATGATGGAGTCAGCATTGCATCTGCAATCATTCTTGTTTTAATTATTCTTGCTGTCATCATGACAAGTATTATGATTGTGGGTTGCAGTTAGGAACACTTATCTTCTTTATATTTCATGTTTGCAGCAGTCAGTGACGTCAAACGCTCTCTGCAGTTTCAAAACCTGAACGATGAAAAGAGATGTACATCTGGATGTCCAGACTTGCCGTTTTTTTTTACCATTTCTGCAATCTGCATTATGTTTTTTCTTTCACTTGCACTTTATAGAGGTGCGTAATGTACAGGTGATAAGAGGTGGTGGACGAGTTGCAACATTGTGGTGGGTGATTCCAGGTCCCTCAACACTGGTAATATGGTAACTGATGGATGCTATTCCTTTTGTTCATTTTTTCTTGGTATGTTATAGTTCTTAGATTTCTATGAAATCTTTGCACAACTCACGTTCTCTCCGTTTATTTTCTTAGTAAATAAAAACCAGAAAAACAACTAAAATGCATGTTAATCCTTGTTGTTTCTTTTGTTTGTTTAGAAATGTAGAAGATGAAGGAGATTTTAGAGCAAGATCATAATAAACATAAAAGTAAAAACTTATGTTCTTTATTTTCAATACTAAAGCTGAATACATATATAGGGAAGTTATTCTTCTTAGCCCTTGCTATATATTGTCCTTGACCAGTACAATTTGTTACCAATTCCTTATCCTAAAGTATTATTTTCTTCTTGGGCTCAAAACCCATTTAGCCTAGTCAACCATTTTGGCCCATCACACTCTCAAATGCTAAGCACATGATCATCTTTCCCTTACGTGATCTTCTTCTTAGCTTCTTCACCACCGTCATTGTTCCCTTTGTTCTCCATTGTGGTTATCTTCTTCTTTGTGTCAACAATTTCTTGTAAAATCAAACCTTTGGATGAGTAATTTCCTACAATAGTTATCCGTAACATATGTAGATTTTGCTGTATAGAAAATCTTGTGTAGGTTCCAGCGGATGGGGTATTAATATCTGGCCATTCACTTGCCCTTGATGCGTATAACATGACTGAGGAGAGCAAAAGCATGCGTCTGTTGCCAATGATAGTGAAGTCGGTGATCATATCATAATCCGCATTATGATATGATGATTAACTTCTCTTTTCTTGATAGGTTCAAAAAGATGCTAGCAAGGACTCATTCTTAATGGCTGGTCGTAATGCTGGTAGGTTATGTGTTTTTATGTCTTTCCTCGTTCTTTTCTGAATTATTGGTTTGCATGAATAAAAATGGTTGATTATGTAAAACAGAGAAAACATAGATTACTAGAGTCGAATGAGATGTGAAGTGTTTATCAAGTTTGTAGATTTTATTAATATGGTTAACCTTTATTCTGTCCACAAAGGCCACTGTTGTTGATATCAACACAGAATTGGAATTTTTGATGGCCAAACTCCTTTGCACGTAGAAAACGTTTTAATGATCGTACTGTTCAGTGTATTATTATTAAATATATTGATAAACTGATGGCATGTCTCAGTCAGGTTTGGCTTAATGGAGTGGTGGTTTTGATTGGTATTGTTGGTCTGTGAGTTGCTCTTACTGTCTTCTTGGCTGTTCTGATCCGGTACGTTTTTCTGTTTATGCAAGAAGTACATTGTTTATCTTCGTGTCTATATAATTTTGGAATACCTTCACACCTTTTAGTTCTTACCAAAAAAAACATATTGTTGTAAACTGTCTCTGTAACACGCATCGATTGATTGTCTACGTATTTCATATGAGAGCTGTGCAAGAATTGTCTCTGTTTCCTCCAGATGTTTTACTTTCAGTTTTTTCTGGTTGCTGAAGAAAAATAAGATCATAAAGAGGAGATCCCAACAATGCAACCATCGGGATATCACCTCAAACCCGCTACAATCACACGCTCAACCTTATCCCGGCCCTCCGGAATAAAGTCTCACGCCATGCCAACTACCCGGTTCCCCAATCACACACATTCATATATTATTATACTTACTCGGGTATACACACGTCCTTACTTGTTATTTTGGGTTATCTCGTTTCCTTTACATTCATTTTATTCTTTTATCCCCGATCCGACCAAATTGGGTTCCGACCATTTCGGATTACCAATTCAGCTCGTTCCGAAGGTTTTACTTACCGTAAGTCGGTTTCATTCAAGTTTCATGAGGTTCGGGTAGGAAACGGGTCTAGGTAGGTCACGTGTAGGTGTCGGTAGCATCGGGTCCCGCTTGAGCCGACGAAACAAGCCGGAACGGGAAGACAAGACCTTGGAACGGACGGTCTGCCTCAGCTAGACCGGACGGTCCAAGATGACTGGTCCCGGCGGTCTGAACTAAGCTGGAACGGACGGTCCAGTAGAGGTGGAACGGACGGTCCACCTCTGGAACGGACGTTCCAGACTTCGTCTTCTTCCCCAAAACCCTGCAGCCCTAGAACGGACGGTCTGAACCTGGACCGTTCGGTCTAGGCGAACCAGGAATTCCGAGTTTCGTATTTTCGCACCAAATTCAACATGCTATAGCTCAAAACAATCCTAGTAACATCAGGAACTCAAATCTAAGTTCAATTTCATGCAATTTGCACTCAATACACGCAAATCTCCATTTTCAATTTGATTATCATTTTCGGGCATAATCCGAAACACTCACCTGTGTCATTTCTGAGCTCTGGGGTTTGTTGCTGGGGTTTCCTAGTGTTGATTTCTGAATTTTCTCGTCGATTTCCATGCGAAATAAGCTCCAATTTGAGAGTTCTTGGTCTGAGTTCGCAAGAACACGAGGGAGAGGGTGAGAGCGAGCTGTAGGCTGAGTGTGAGCAGAGGGAGAGAGTGAAGCTCGTGTAGAAGAGATTGGCCGCCTCTGAGTCAAGCAGGAGGTGTCAAACGCCGGTGAAACCTCGGAGTGGCAGCGGTGACTCAGCAGGGAGAAAGACGGCGGAGTTTCTCGGTTCTGTCCGTCGTCGGAACGGACGGTCCGGTAAGGCGGAACGGACGTTCCGCTTGGTCTGGAACGGACGGTCTGCTTGTCAGACCGGACGTTCTGGACCGTTTTCGCCCGTTTTTCTCGCTCGTTTCGGTCCAATCCTTTGAATTGGCTTGGCTAGGTTTGATTCTATGTTCTTGAGCATTTCTCCGGCACCTAAAAGATCTTCTAGGGTTTGGTGCAGAGAAAAGAAACTCTCGGGGCATTATATTCCGTTGGAATAGTCGATCTTCTTCTCCTTGCCTCTTCTTCGTTCGGCTCGGTTGGTTCACGTTAAACCAATTCGCCCGAGCGGCTTCATGTCGTGGTCTATTCCTCGTTAATCCTTTTAATGAAAATTAAGGGCTTATCGCCTAATCATCTCATTTCCATTGATCAAGCGTCGTCAATTTCGGTTTATATCTCTCTAATCCTTTTACCGAAATTCGGGGTGTTACACATGATATAATCATGAATACAAAGAAAATGTTGAAGAAACATTTTGACATGAAAGACATGGTTCAAGCTGATGTTATTTTAGGGATAAAGATTTTAAAAGGACCAGAAGGAATTTTCTTATCACAATCTCACTATGTTGATACTGTTCTTAAGAAATTCAATCAATTTGACTGTATTCCAGCTAGAACACCTGTTGACATTAGTTGTCATCTAGGTAAAAATCGAGGAGATCCAGTTTCTCAAGTGGAATATGCAAGGATCATTGGTAGTTTAATGTATCTAACTAATTGTAATAGACATGATATTGCATATGCAGTGAACTATTTGAGTAGATTCACAAGTAATCCAAATGAGGATCACTGGAAAGCTTTGATAAGGGTACTTAGATACTTGAAGTATACCTTGAATCATGGTTTATGTTATTCTAGGTATGCAGCTGTATTAGAAGGTTACAGCGATGGTAACTAGATATCAAATACCAATGACTCCAAAGCTACTAGTGGTTATGTATTTACCATCGGTGGAGGAGCAGTCTCATGGAAATCTTCTAGGCAAATGTGTATAGCTCAGTCTACAATGGAATCCGAGTTTATAGCCTTAGATAAGGCTGGAGAAGAAGCTGAATGACTTCGTAACTTTCTAGAAGATATTCCGTGTTGGAACAAACCTGTGCCTGCTGTTATGATACATTGCGATAGTACATCAACAATTGGTAGAGCACAAAATAGTATGTACAATGGTAAATCTTGACATATACGTCGTACACATAATACCATCAGACAATTGATCTCAAATGGTGTAATAACCATAGATTATGTTAAGTCTAAGGAAAACTTAGCAGATCCGTTAACGAAAGACCTTAATCGAGATCAATTATACAAGTTATCGAAAGGAATGGGATTAAAATCCACGAATTAAAGAATGACCACAGCGGTAACCCAACCTTGTTGACTGGATATCCCAAGATCTAGGTTCAATGGGAAAACCAAGTTATGGAAGTTCAGTTGAACACTTGGAAATTTATTTCCATCTCATTCCTAAAACGATAATCCAAGTGTAAGAAAAGTTTGCGTATCGTGGTGAGGTTGAATTCCATATTGAATTCTTAATGATTCCTACACCTTAAATAAGGTAGAGTATAGCAAAATACTTTCGACATAAAGTTCGGTAGGTAAGATTACCTATATAAGTGAGGAGTTATGATGGCCGCTCCTATAAGAAAAAACACGTATGAATCCAAGATATGGTCCATGGTCGAAACGGACAACAACATGAGAACAAAAATGAAAGTTAGCAATATTATTGTGTGAATACTGTTTGTCTTGGTATATGTTATACAACTGGGGGTTCAAGACTTTACAATTTTGACAAAAAAAACACTGAACTTTTTATTTTATCAAATAAACATTAAACTTTTTAAGTTTGACAAAATAAACACTTAACTTTTCTACGGTTGCCAAAATAAACAAAATGCATGACGTGGCCCAATGAGATGCAAACACGTCAGATTATTTTACTTAGTTTTTTTTGACAATCGAAAAAAGTTCATGTATTTTTTTGGATCACTAAAAAAGTTCAGTGTTTTTTTGATAATCGCAGAAAAGTTTATGTATTTTTTGGATCATTTAAAAAGTTCAGTGTTTTTTAGATTCGTTTAAAAAGTTTAATGTTTATTTGACAAAAAATAAAGTTCAGTGTTTTTTTTGTCAAAATTGTAAAGTTCAGTGTTTTTTTTGGGATTTTCTCTAATCTTTATTTACGTTCTGACCAATTTCTTATCTTCATCTTGTTTCTTTTCAACCTGATGGGCCAAGTTCATATTCTTTGGAAAGGAGCTTCTGAAATCATGCTGGATGAAATTGGTAATGTGACAGCTATGATTGAAGGCAATCTTTGTGAGAACCCAATACTTCATGGTTGCATTGACAAGGTTTGTAAGAACGGTGTTTCTTGGGCGTCACGCTTTCTCATCGTTTGCCCTAACAAACCTCTTCCAAAACCAATGATGTTCCCAAACTCCGGCGACTTTCTCCATCGGAACATTCTTGGTCTCCGGTAGAAACATCTGCATGGCTGCCGTCATCACCACCACCCACCCTCCATAAAAGAAGAAAATCCCAGCCTCGGACCGGCAAAGCATCGCCAAGAAGCTCTGAGCCACCACGAATGTGAACACAAAGCTCACCGCCACCGTCACGCTCTGCGCCGCCGATCTGATCTCCAACGGGAAGATCTCGCTCGGGACGAGCCACCCGAGCGGACCCCATGACCACCCGAAACCCGCCACGTACACGCATATTAGAACAAGCACAACATAGGCGTAGCCCTGGCCACGCAGCTCGGCTATCATGATGATTCCGACCATTACTTGCGACACAAGCATTTGTATCCCGCCGACCAGGAACAAAGTTTTCGGGCCCAATCTATCCACCACGAGCATCGATACGAACATCGAAGCCATGCCCACGATTCCCGTCACCACGACCGACCTCAGGGACGCGCTCTCGCTGAATCCGATGGTTCTGAAAAGAATCGGAGCATAGAAAGCGATCATGTTGATGCCGGTGACTTGTTGGAAGAAGGGTATAGCTAAAGCCATGACAAGCTGAGGACGGTACTTCCTCTGAAGCATTTTCACAAACGGGTTGTCTGCGTAATCAGTCTTGATCTCAGAGCCAGCTCTGACGAGATCGGAGGGCTCGTCTCCGACATCGGGGGTTCCCCAAACACGGCGGAGCACGAGCTCGGCGTGGCAAACATCGCCGGTTCTCTGGATGATGCTGTTGGGAGTCTCCGGCAAGAAGAGCGAACCGAGTATGAGAATGGAAGCGGGAACAGTAGCCATGGCTGAGGAGATTCTTGTTTGACCCGAGACAAGGATCAGTGGCACTTCGGTGTGGGTGAGTGAGCCCTCAAATTCAACTAGAAACTTCTGTTTCAGAAAACACAGAAATAGAGAAGAACAAATTCAAGAATACTCAATAATCCCATTAAACTAGAAACGATTACATATACAGAAAAGTAGTAACTTAAGAACAAAAACAAAAATCAAATCAACCTCTAAATCTGTTAACCCTCCTAAAGGAGTCACCTCGTAGTCTTCTTCGATGACTTCCCACAGATCTGCACCCTTCATGTATGCCTTCATCTTCACAGCCCACATCTGGTAGTTTTCTCCATCAAAAACTGGGGGAGAATTCGAATCCATCGTCAGCTTTGATAACCCTCAGATCCCTATAGAATCAACCAGGCTCTGATACCACTGTTTGACCCGAGATAAGGATCAGTGGCACTTCGGTCTGGGTGAGTGAGCACTCAAATTTAACCAGAAACTTCTGTTTCAGAAAATACAGAAACAGAGAGAGAGAAATTCAAGAATACTCAATAATCTCATTAAACTAGAAACGATTACATATATAGGAAAGTAATAACTTAAGAACAGAAACAAAAATCAAATCAACCTCTAAATCTGTTAACCAAATCAATTCAAATAAACTATCCTAAAATCTTGCAAAGATAGAAAAGGAAAGATGATAGTGCCAGATTTTGACAGAATCTGGAAACTGATCCTTTTCAGCCTTGAGTCACGTTTGAACTAACAATCTCCTCCTTGACGAAAGGCCTTGAGTACACACCGATCATTCTCCTCAGCTATTCGAATCTTCCGGCATGAAAACTCTTTGTAAACAAATCCGCACATTGCTCCTCTGTTCTGCAGTGAACTATATTCACTTCTCTCTCTTCTTGAACTTGTCTGAGATAATAAAACTTGATTTTGAAGTGTTTAGTTCTCCCATGGAACACTGGATTTTGAGAAATCAAAATAGTTGCCTGATTATCAACAAATAAATCAGTAGCTTCCTCACACTTCAAGAACATATCCTCCAATAGTTTTCTGATCCACACAGCATGGTTTGCTGCTGCAGTGGCCGAGATAAACTCAGCCTCGGCTGTTTATTGTGCTACGACAGTCTGCTTTTCGAGCTCCACGAGAAGCAGCCTGAACCGAATGAGAAACAGAATCCCGACGTGCTTCTCATGTCATCGACACAACCAGCCCAGTCACTGTCGGAGTAACCGACCAAACCAAACTCTTCACATCTGGAAAATCTTATTCCAAATGTCTGAGTACCTCTTAAGTATCTGAGGACTCTCTTTGCCGCCACCCAATGCTCCTTCTTGGCACAATTCAGAAATCTCGAAAGTGTATTTACAGCAAACAAGATACCAGGCCTTGTTGCTGTTAAATACATCAAGCATCCAACCAAGCTTCTATATGTTCCCTCCTGAACTTCTTCACTCTCATCTGATTTTTGCAGCTTGGAATTTGGATCCATTGGAGTTCTCATTGCCTTGCAATGTTCCATCTTGAATCTGCTCAGAATCTGTTTGAGATACTTCTCTTGGCATAGAAACACTTCACCAGATTTCTGTCAGATTTCGATCCCAAGAAATTGTGCCATCATTCCCAAGTCTGTCATCTCGAACTTCTTGCACAACATTCTCTGCAACTCACTGATTTCCTCAGCTTTATCTCCTGTGACAAACAGATCATCAACATAGAGTGATATGATCACAATTCCAGCCTTACCTCTCTTCACATATAGAGTATGTTCACTCAAACTTCTGATAAAACCCAATTCTCTGAGGTAGCCATCAATCTTCTCATACCAAGCTCTAGGAGCTTGTTTCAAGCCATAAAGCATCTTTTTCAGTAAATACACCTTATCCTCTTGGCCATTAATCTGAAACCCTTGCGGTTGCTCGATATAAGTCTCCTCTTTCAGCTCCCCATTCAGGAACGCATACTTGACATCAAGATGATTGACTATCCACTCCTTCTGCACTGCAATGACCAGCAACATCCTGATCGTGTCAAGCCGAGCAACAGGGGCGAAAGTTTCTGAGTAATCAACTCCCCACACTTGTGAATTCACCACATGCCTAGCTTTATGCTTGTTTATAGAACCATCAGGATTTAGTTTGGTTCTATAAACCTACTTGACTCCAATAATTTTCTTCCCTTTTGGTCTTGGAACCAAAACCCAAGTCTGGTTCTTTTCTATCATCTTGAGCTCCTCCTTCATTGCATCTCTCCAACTCTTATCATTTCTAGCTTCTTCAAAGCTAGATGGCTCAAGAACAACCACATTACATCTGTGATAGATGTCTTGCAAAGTTCTTGTACCTCTCACAGGAAGATCATCGCCAGATTCAGCATATTCAACCTCCACAATCTCATCGCTATTCTGCCCATGATTTTCATATTGCTGAGCTTGAGGTTCAGCTTCACCAGTGAGTGGCCCTTCGGTTTGAGTGAATGGCTCTTCATCCTCACCGAAGTCTTGCCATTTCCATCCTTCAGACTCAACAAACTTGACGTCTCTACTCACAATCATCTTGTTCAGAACTAGTAAAAACACTCTATATGCCTTTGACGCAAGGCTATATCCCATAAACACACCTTCTGCAGAAGTTGTTGACAGAAGTGTTGTATGTGCCAAAGTTAGATCAGAATCTCCTAAGTGTACCTCAGTTGGTGGTCAAAGGCTACAAAGTCATTTTTGACAAGAATGAATGCATCATTGAATCTGAAACAACTCCTGTATTGTTTCGGATACCTATGAGAGGTAAAGCCTTCCTGTTTTCTTTTGAAAATGAAACACACGATGCATTGCAGAGTCAAGTGACAGAAGATTAGCTTTGGCACAAGAGACTCGGCCATTTTCATAGAAAGGGAGTGCTGAATATGATGAAGAAAGGGTTGGTTCAAGGTCTTCCTGAAACCTGCAGAGAGATACCTGATTGCAGAGCTTGTGCTCTTGGAAAACAGAGGAGATTACCATTCAAAGCTTCCACTTGGAGAGCACAGGAGAAATTAAAGCTGATATACACATACTTGTGTGGGCCGATGCCTATTCCTTCCTTGATTGGTAACAGGTATTTCTTGATCTTTATTGATGACTACTCGAGATTCTGCTGGATTTTCTTCTTGAAGATGAAATCTGAAACTGATGGAATCTTCTTGAAGTTTAAACTTGAGGTTGAAAATGAGAGTGGTTGTAAGATGAAAATTATTTCGATCTCCTGTCATGTGGTTAGTACAACCACTATCCACTAGCCAACCATCTCTAACAGAACATGAAACATAGCATGATGCAACAAACATACTTTCAACATCACCTTTGTCATCTTCAACCTCTCTTATTGCTTGAGCATTCTTGCTTTTGCAGAATCGCTCAATGTGCCCAGATTTACCGCATCCTCGACATTTGATGTTAGGATTCCTCCAACATCTCCAATGCGGGTGCCCTTTCTTCTGACAGTGCTTGCAAGGTTCGGCGAAGCCTTGCTCAGCATTGTTTTCACCTTCAGGGACCGTCATTTTGCTTTGGGATGTATTCGTTCTCCACTTCTTTCATAGCTCCCTCAACTGACTCCTCCTTTCTCATCAATCTTCTCTGCTCTTTTGCTTGAAGGGCACTAAGGACTTCCAACAGTTTCAATTCTGACAGTTCCTTAGTGTTCTCCAAGGAAGCAAGGGTTGCTTGAAAACGCTCTGGAACAGAAACCATCACCTTCTGAACTATCTTCTCATCAGTCATTTCAGTGCCCAAGATCCTTATCTTGCTCACAATATTGATCAGACGATCAACATAAGCCTTCACCGTGTCATCGGGCTTCATCTGCTGTCGCTCAAATTCTCGGAGCAGGTTCAAGACCTTTATACCCCGTATCTTCTCATCTCCTTCATATTCTTCCTTCAGAGAATCCCACATCTCCTTGGCATTGGTCATGTTCATGATCTTAGTAAAGATAAATGATGGTACCTGTAATACCCCGAAATCTGATTTGAATATTTAATTATTTTCAAAGATAAATAAGTAAATAGACAGGACATTAGTTTAAATATAAGGTACAACATCAGAAAAAAGGACACAAAATAGATCAGACTGGTCAGCCCAAAAAAAAAAGAACTGGAGGAGAATTCGAATCCATCGTCAGCTTTGATAACCCTCAGATCCCTATAGAATCAACGGTGCTCTGATACCACTGTTTGACCCGAGACAAGGATCAGTGGCACTTCG